ATAAATTCAGATCATAGCGTAGTATAACCAATTGAAAAAAATAACTTATGTGAGTGCAATTTCACAGAGCGTAACAATGAACTTCGGGCGATACTTGTAAAATATTCCCTCTTTTTTTATCCAAGAAATAGAATAGATAATGCAGCCCATTGAAATTCACACTTGTACAACAAGAAATATCACTTTTAATCTATCGACAAGTCGACACGTTTATATGCCAACAGCAAAACAAAAACAAATTCCACGGAGGAGCGGGAGCGTATCGAGCGCCTCAATATCGATGCACGATCGTCTACGTTCCCATTTAATACAGGTGCGCATCCCTGGAGAAGAATACAAGCTCGCGAGAAGGAGCGTCTTCGTCGTCGTCGGTGTCAATGCTATCCGGTGCGCGCGAAACCATCTCGGACCTCCTCGTATTTTCAATGCACGGCTGGAGCGTTACGAAAGTCGCGAGCGCGCGAATTCTTCGTGCTCAAAATAATACCGACACGAGAATAAAGTGAAATAGCCGAACGGAGAAAGAAATTCGAAATTGATTGGCGACATTTGAAGCATTACAAATGCTCGTAAAACTGCCACTGTTAAGCGATTGTTATTGATGCCGGGGGCAGTTTATTATTCGCCCTCCACACGATCAGTTCCTTCAAAATTGCCTAATTCTGCAGATAAACAGTGTCAATTAATATGCCGAAAGCCAGTCATAAGCAATGTTAACTTTCACAATTTTGCACAACCGAACTAAGCAGTCGATTTGAAGCTCAATTAATTTTTGTATTCGCTTTATTCTTCATAGCACCAATTATTCAGTTCTTCGTGGTGAGCTGACATTAAAAAGCCAAAAACATCAATGAGCGCGCGGCTACAACGATTTAATAAAATTATTAGGTCAAAACATTCCATATGCATATTTACGAGGAGAATGCGTGCTCAACAAGTTTTTTCACATCAACAGGCTTTCAAAAATTTGAATAACTTCTGAAAAATTTAAATGTTGGCTTTGTCCATCCCAGACAATAAATCTCCAAGTTATTCAACAGTCGCGCAAAACTAACGAGTACGAAAAGAAGAAACATATTCCACGACAATTTCAAGAACTATCGTTTTATATAAAAATGCAATTTGAATATGTAGTGGGAGTCTGTATAATAAATAATTACTCGGAATACTTTCAAAACATAGCTTAAGAAAAGAAAAATAAAAGCAAACTGCATCCATCAGGTATAAAATGAAATTTCACGCTGTGCACCGACAACGAGAGAGGGAGAGAGAGAGACTTACGTCACAGGACATTGAGACGAAAACGTCAATTAACAGGTAAGTCAGTCGAATTCTCTCACTCATTTATCGAAGCAACACAAAAGCGCTATTTCAAGTGAAGTTTTGAGTGAAAGTGTATAGAGCGAAAAAGGTCGCGTACGCGGCGGCGCGCGAAAAGCGGCGAGAATCGTGCATAGGTGCGCATTATGACACGCGGGCACGACGACACTCGATTTCTTCGCTCTCTGAACTTGCTGGGCTTTCTGCCAGCTGTCTCCTTTGCATGTGCACATCGATCGTATAATTGCTAAGTATTGCAAACCGATGAAACAATTGATTGTCACTGATTCATCGTTGCTATTTTTTCGTACACGTACGCAATCATGTGCTGTCGTCAAGAGATTTCGCTTTTTTTTTCGTTGAAACGCAAGTCATCGCCATTGGTTATCTGTTGTAATCTCAAAAATTAGCATTACAAGGTCATAATACAACGATTTTGATTTTGCTATCTAACTACTCTATCTGCATGCTCGCTTTGGAGACTAGATATTTCTCACATCCATAATCTGCCGCATAGATGGAACAGATAAGAATATTATGAGATGTTCACCATCGTAACATACGAGCCCATTCATCTTTAAAACCTTACGTTTTTTACGCGTATTAAGCATCATTTCGTTACAAATATATGTGTGTGCGAGTGTACGCATGTGTGTGTATGTATGTGTGTGACGTATAGAAAATACACACACATATATAAATATTTTTTTTTCTGATTTTCTGGTAACTAGAGAACTGAGATAATGATTTAGGTTTCATTTTGAAGGAAACTTATGTTCATTACATTACCGAATACGCGACTATTAAAATGTGCCGCGTGAAAGCTGCTGTTTACTCGAGACATTTTTGTTCCACCACTGCTCGACTTATATGGTTTATTACTTTATTCAAAATATTGCGGCAGAAAACCAGTTCCTGTAAGATCCTTTAGCATATCAGTATGCTCGCCATTTCACTTTTCCTTCGACTTATTTCATTTTGTCTATTCCAATGTCGCAATTTCATACACTCGTTAGACTATAAAAAATATTATCTTTTAGAGCAATAGTTCGAGACGCCCCCCCCCCCCACACACACACAGAGTTTAAATAATAATAAATCTATTTTCAACTCAACGTTTTAAAAATTTCCTTTGATTTCTCAATGACGTATTCATCATACATTCATTTGGTGATTTGATAACGTAATAACCATCAATAATATCATTGAAAGTATTTTCATTAACTCCCAACTTGGGAGTTTCCACTCTCAAGTTAAGTTAAGAATGTGAACTCGTATTCACAGTACTATAACGAATTTTTATTAAAATAATATCTCAACAGCTAATCTGCAAAATAAGCTTTGATTTGCGAGATACATTTTATTGTGATGGTTCTTTTATAAATATAACGTCACTGAGTTTTAATTGTTTTAATTGACACTTAAAACTTTTAACTTTCTGATTAACTTCAGATAATATCAGGAAAAAATAACATAAAATAATAGGGGCACGCATGTAATATTTTTAGTCTTAATTATTTTATATAATTTTCAAACATTTCGAAGTGTTACTTGAAATTTCTCTTAGCCACGACTGTAGAATATTAATAAACAAGAAAAATCGTCGAAATACATGTCAACCACTAACTTCCGCAACATTTTTCTCAGCCCTTGCTTCTATTATCGGGCAATCTTCTGAGAAACTTTCTTTAAAATTTCGACAGTATTGCACACATTAAAGTTTACCATGCAAATGTTCTATTCGGTGTTAATTCCCCGCGATGTATTGCACCGATCGTAAAGCGAAAAGAAAAAGTGACTACAAGCGTAAAAAACAGAAGAACAAGAAGAAAAAAGAGCGAATGCGCGCGCGCGTGTGTATGTGTTGTGAATAAAATTAGCGAAATACAATTAGTCGTTAATCAGTGAGAGTAGCGCAACGCGCAAGCAGAACCACGCGGAGAAACCGTTTTGAGCGAGCTACCTTGAAATTAAGTACTCGATTCGGAGCATGTATTAGCGAATAATCCCAGTAGTCAACTGCCAAAAACGTCGTCTAAGATACAGTCACGTGCGTGTGTGCGGAAAGAGCGCTTGCGCCCCGGTCTTGGATTTCTGTATGTATACATGCGTTGTGCAATGCGCGACGATGTATCTCGTGAGAATAGTTGATCTCGCGCTCGCAAGCTGCTGCTGGTGCCTCACCGCTGCGACTGCGTGCTTGGCTTCTCCTATCCTTGTCCGGTGTGTTCTACGTATAATACTTCAGTGTGTCGCAATTCACACAAAGGATAATAACCTTGCTGCTGGCTCACCGCGGATGCAACGCAGCTTACGTTCATGTCGATCAGGTTGCCTATACGCAGCGAGATGTCTTAATAACTAACGTTACTTTCGCCTTCTCAACTTTATTAAAATAATTAAAAATATTGTTTATTTATTTATTTTATTTTGTTTATTAATTTGATTTCTTCATTTTTTTTATTGATAAATCTACACAATCATTGTGTAGTTGTGTTCCGATTTATATAGCTGTTTTTCCAATTTTTTCCAATTTTTTTTTACTATTGAAAAGACAGTGCGTGATGATTAAGCGTGTACCTAAAAATATATTAAATAAAATGCAATAGATTATTGCATTTATTGACTGTGATGTACGACAAAAAAAAATTACCAAAAGCGAAATATTTTTGGTAACGCGTACATACGTCTTAGCTAAGTGAGCAGAGTTTTAATTACTTTTCCTCGCTATTTATTATAAATAATTATTTTACAATAGATAGTGAAATTTGCTAATGCTAGAAAGCATATTCATTTATTAAAATATTGAATATGTCATTGTTAATAAAATGGACATGATGTAGGCACGTTCAATGTGCCTTACCAAACCCGGACCGTTTCTACTGCAATGCTTTTATATTATATACGATACATTCAAGAATTTGGTTCTTTAAAAATTTAACAATACAAAATTGTTTTTTACAACTACTAAAGATTCTTCCTTCAATTTCATTATAAATTTATCGAATGCAAATACATTGAAATGATTAAATGAAAAAGCAACGAATTCAATTAATGCAACGTGCTTAATAAAATGACCCGATTATCAATTTATACTTTGTATTTCAATTTTCTTAAAAATTGTACGTCTGTCTGCATTACGTTGGCATTACGTAGAGCATTGCGTTATGCTAATCGTCAATAATAAATACTGTGGTGAACAATGCGTAGCAGAGTCGCAATTTGATTTTGCTTGTCGTTGACTTTATGGATGAGTGAACTAAAAAAATACCGGATACTTGTACATTTAGCAGATCGCTATTTAAAAAGTTCATAGTAAGCTATTACACAAGCTAGTCGAACCAAATACATACCACACCCGACTTCCTTTCTAGGAAAGTTCTATTGCAACTTGGCAAGTTTCAATAGCATAATCATTTTTTTCTCTTAGTATTGGGAAGATGTCTCCATAGTTCGAAACATTATAGCTGAGTTATTTAAAAATAAGCAATAATTATTTAATGGTAAAATGTGAAAATGTCAACTTTAGTTGATAAAAATGTCTAACTATGTTGTTTTGTAAACATATCGTCCTTTTATCATAATCTTAAATTTAAATCAACTTGAAATGTAAGCATGAATATACGCGAGTGATGGCAAATAAGAATGAGTAGTGTGTTACGTATGTCTTTTATTATGAGCACACATTATTTAGCAAACACAATGATGAAGATAATCGATAGCTTAAAAAACGCTTAAGAGATAATTAAAACGTAGGATTTACAACTAGTTAATTTTTTTATAATAACATGTACATAAAATACGCCATGACAAGATAAATGAAAACAGTATGAAAAAATGGAAAACTCACGTATACTTCCATCAATCTGAATTTAACAATCTTCATAAATTTAGTGCATTGCCGAAACGAAAAATTTTTTCACGTTCCACAAAGAATTCACATAAGCGGAACATAAACATCCAGATTTAAATGGAATAACCCAACGTCATACACGTTTCGATTGAGACAGTGAGAAGAAAATTGAGCACTCCAATACACGCGCGCGTGTGTATGTCGTTATCTTGAAATATAGTAAACTCAATTCTATCCCCAATCACTACGAGATAATTACAAAGCCGTTGCGTCACATATACACAATGTATAGCAAAGGGTAGAGCCGTCGCATCATCAGCATCATCATCTCTCGATCGGTAATAATCAGACGGGCGATAAAGTGCACACACGTACATACGATGCGCGCAAACTCGAGTGGCGGGCGCGCGTGAGAGTGAAAGTGCACATACAGAAAAGCCCTGGCACGACGATTACTTCGCACTACGAGATTTGCGAGGAAAGAGAAACGGACGACGAACGCCTCTTTGCCTGCCGGTAAGAGCATATACGCAGCATACTTATGGACTCGATCATCCGGTAGATTCAGCAGACATCGAGAGAGATTTTTGAACTCTTCGTATGTTTTCCTTTAATGGGCCTATACGTAAAGCTACACATTGTTATTACAGATATACAAGTATGGATAGCTGATTGTCGAGTTAAAGGAAGACAAAGGAAGGTTCTGCATTTTCTGACTGCGACAAGGCTTCTAGCGGGAAATCTCTTCTCGCAGACGGCGGGACGATTCTTATAGTACAGTGGAATAGTAACAGGCAGACACGAAAACGATCTTGTTTGTCTTTTATATCAGCATCGCGACTTATTATCATGACTTCACTGGAAAATATTGTTATACCTGTGAAGCACATGTTTTTTCAATGAATTCAATGAATTCAATTAATTAATCAAATCACAATGCTCAGTCTGTATTCCACTTACCCCTAAAAGACTGGAAAGACCGACTTAGTAGTAGCCGAAGCTAATGTCGTGCAAGGGAGCAGCAGCGTTTGACGGCAGCGCATAGTCCCTGGCAAGTTGATCGAGAAGTCCGCCATTACCACTGCGCGTCTGAGGTTGAGGTCGCGGTCGTTCCTGAACGGGTGCTGGACCAAATTGAACCGGGCCATTCTTGGCGTACTGGATGGCCTGGGGTTGTTCTTCGTACAATTGTTGCTGCTGAATCAACTGGGATTGCAAAGCCGCACTCAGCTGAGATCTGCTTGGCTGGTCGGCTGGCGTGAAAATCGCCTGGGGTGCTGGTTTCGGAACCGCTCGGGATTGCGCGGCATAGATCGCCTGGGTATGAGCTGCTGTGGCGAATTGTGGTTGGTACTGCTGTTGATAAGCTGCCGTTTGCTGGCGCGCCGGTGCTGCCCTGCAACGTTCATTTTTCGTTAGTCCAATAGACACTTAACGAAATCGTTTTTATTCTCTGTGCAGATCAACCAACGTAATCGCATAAAGAGTTAGGTCTTTCAGTTTACGACAATATAACCAGTTTTCTAAAATACTCAATTAGTGCGTTAAAATGTAGTTGAATTATAAAATTAAGCCAATTGTGTCTATAATAAGCACGTCTTTTATATAACTTTCACAATCCAGTTTCTCAAAGATATCCTTTCAGGCTTATACCCACACCTACATATATCTTTACTTAGAATTAGATTTAGTTCAGAAATTCTTATGAGACGGTGTTATAATGAAATTCAGCGTTGTCACTTCCGTGAGATTCTATTAAGTTGAATGGAAAAAATGCACAATTATACGATCAGATGTTATCAAAGTACCTGATTGTATAATCGTAAGGCAGGGAAAAAAACTAGTTTGAAATATCTCCGTTAAATTTATTCCAATTAATTAAATAATTAAAACGCGAATAAAAAGTTAATTTTAACATAACTTACCTTGGTGGAGGTGGTCTAGCAGCAATTGGTAGCTGATACTCGGCGTAATCTTGGCCGTACTTGGCTGCTTCGAGAGCTTCCTTGCTGGTAGTTTCATCGACAAGCGTTGGTGGAGCGACGGTGATACCTTCACCAGAAGGCTGAAAGCCATACTGATCTGCACCATACTCGACTACTCGAACTTTGCCGCTATCATCGACAAATCCATATTTGCCTTTTACTTCGCCGTTGGCCAACTTTGTTTCGATCTAAAAATGACAATTATGTTATCAACTTATGAAAATGAAATTTTGGTCTGTAACAAGTAAAATAAAATAATGAGATAGAACTATTATCATTTGCAAAGTGAGTTGTCACACGTTTTGAATAACTAAATTGCTAAATTGACACTTTTATTATTGCAAATTTATTTTGAAAGAAACGTCGATGATCGCCTTTTTTTCAAATCACACCGGTTACTAATAGTATTCTTAAAAAAATGTCCATGATTGGAAAATAAAGTTTGAAAAAAAAGAAGTTACGAAAGAGGTATGAACTTTCCAGAAAGTAGAGCAGTAGTAGCAAGTCAAGAAGGAAGAAATGCTGATTGGATAAGATAAAAACACAAAAAAGAGATAAAAGCAGGCGCGTTACTCGTGATGCATTAGTCATGGACTGAATGTATGGCATACTTTGAAGGAGCCGTCGGCACCCTCGAAGCCATAGGTGTAAGAGCCGTCCTCGTTGTGCCGGTTGATCTGCTTAAGGATGGCGACAGGAGTAGGTTTAGCCGCAGCGGGTCCCCTCTGGGCGGCAGCCTGAGCTGGACTATAGCTCCGGGGCGTCGGGCTATGGACCGGTCGTGCTGCCGGCTGATCCGACTCGTAGTCGCCGTACACCTCGCCGTTTATGTAATTGCCATCATCCGGCTGGTAGCGTTGGCCCGCCACCAACGTCACCGCCAGCAGCCCCAACACCACCTGAAAACGTACAGCTTTAATGAGCTCATCAACTGCCTATACGTGGCGCTTCTTTCACGCAACTTTTCTTTTTTTTTTTAATTTTCGTTTTGTTTCTCTTTTTTTCTTTCGGAACTCTCCATGCACACTCTGATCTCTTGATTATGCGATAAAAGAAATGCAGTCGCACGGCAATTACCTAATCAGCAGACGCTTGCTTTTGAAATTAGTTCGGTTAATTGGAATCTCACTTTGACTTCTTCGGTTAACGTTGTTTCGCGACAGTTTTCTTCCCGTTAATTGAATCGATTGTTTCGATTACATACCATACGTTAAAGGACATCTGCGAAATTCTAATAGTTCCTCCTTTTTCGATCTCCCTTTCGTATAAGCTTTCGAGCTCAAAAGTGTATCATGAATTGTGTATCGAAAAATTGAAATGACTTATTCACTAAGAATTGAATTGTTACGTAAGATGACTACAATGAGGTATCGCAAATAAACAAAACCTTAATTGTAAATGAAAGAATTTTTTTTGAACAACAAATACGACAAACGCATTGTTTTTCGGGTATTTCAAGGTAGATCAATGAAGACGAATTATATCACGTTTTTTACATCATTTTGCAAATGACTAATTGGTCTTGCGTCGAACGCGAAAAACTTTCATCATTTACAAATCGATTTGCTTTCCTGAACCGTCGCAGACGACTCCCTTATTGGGAACCGCGAAATAAGCTCTCAAGGTAACCTCTTTCGTTTTGGAACAATGATACCATCTGCAAAAAAAAATAATGATACCCTTGCTTTCGGTACTTACGTGAATTGTTTCTCAAAAGTGAATTACATTTGACCTCGATTCGCAGAAAAAGGTAAGGGTCGCCGAAAAAATATAAAAACCAGCCGTACAATCTATCAATTGGTCTCGTAATTAGTGAAGCCTCTCAGCGAGCTACGATTGCTTTTCTCGTCAGCCAACAAATGAACTCTAAAGGACGATGAGGGTTGCGGCTCGTCGTAATCGTAATATCGGCCCCTGGCGCTGTCGAGATCCTCGAAGCAGAGCTCACGGATTCCCTTGAGCACGATGTAAAATAGAAGTAGCTGTGCGGCATTCGACAGGATCTTGGGCGGTGAGAGAAAGGAAAGCACGGAGCTCAATGGCGAAGCCGTACGACCCGGCCGGCAAAAACCCGAAAGCATTTCAATGCTCCCGTAACGCACGCCCGGCAATTCCACTTGACAATTTTTCAGAGACCAAACAGATTTTGTAACCTGCAGTGCGGGCCCTCCAGAAAAATATCGAAAAAAAAAAAAATGAAAAAAAGAAAACGAAACAACGTAGTCGTGCATTCACGCAGTTTACGTAAGTCTTTTGTTCTGAAACTTGTGTTTGTACGTGCGCGTAGTTTTCGAAAAGTTTAACTTAGTTATGTTACGCAAGTGAAAAAAGTGCGGCTCTAATTAGTAGAATGAGCAAATATTTGGACGAAAATAAACTAGGAATAAATTATACAACTTTCATACGTATTGCCGATCAAAGCTCCATACTGTTCAGTTGAACAAGTAAATAGATTAAATAACTACGGCGACTGTCAGAGTATTATTCCAAGGCAAACAAACATACGGAGAATATGTAATGACAGAGAAAGTGAGAGACGATAAATATAAATAAGTGGAAAATGCGTGAAGAAAATTATCGAATCAGAAATCGAAATCACATTTGAAAGGATAGACGGCTGCTCCCTAAGTTCACCATATGTAATTACATATCAATAGCTATCGACGAAAGGTAAGCTTATATCGACTGTAATATGTCGGAATTCCAATCCCATCGAAATTGAAAGTCTCTCAAATATTCGCGCATTATTGAATGTATGTACAATACAAAAGGACTTAACAAGCTATACACTTTCGAGCGCTTTCAAATGGGTTAAACAACACAGCAGCAGCAGCAGCAGCAGCAGCAGTAGCAGCAGTAAGCATCGAAGGCTTTCAAAAATAATGTCACAATGACGTCGAATTGCACAAAAAAGAAACTGAAAAGCGGACGATGCAAAAACATGCCAGATCGTTGGTATTCGTTTCAAAAGCCGCGGTAGTCTTTCTCTCGTTAGGCAGCGCGCGGCCGATGCCTTATAATATCAAGATTAGAAATCGCTGCTGAAGGACGCGAAAGTGTTTTTCAAGTGTTTTAGCCACAACGCGGACTCGATGAAACCGACGCTAAAACGTGTACACAGACGACATTGCACGTGTCTTCCGACAGCTATGTACCGCGAAACTGAGCTGAATGCCGATTACCAATTTGAAACTGCGCTACAGACACTCGCCGATGGACTTTCCCGATATTCCAAGTTTCGTACGAATATTTACGAAAAAGGCAGTTTCATAAGTATCGTTATCTTTTCGTAACAATCAAAGCCCAAAGAAAAATCCTATGAATTGTTATTAACGCGTCTAGATGTTGATTAGCAATCGTGGCAAAAGAAAAAGTAGATCACGCGGTGTACAGAAACGAAATTCCCATAGCGACGGAACGATGCAACACCCACGCTCGAGCCTCGCGAGCTCATTAATGCGTGCTGGAATATACGCGTATATTTAACGAAAAAGCCGATGAAGTAGCATTCGCCTTCCACGAATGCACAGATACTTTTACCGGAACCTCTACTCTCGGACGCGATCATGCATTATACACATGGACACAAGGCTCGCGCGCGCGCGCACGTAAGCTTTCGATACATGTAACTCAACCGCGTGCACTTCCTGATTGCGTTCTATTTTTTTCGCGATCCAGTTTTAATACTAACGTTTGGCAATTATGATTCGCATGCGAACTTGCCGTGTATCGGCTGGCCGCTATGCGAGTGAAAACTGACGGGCGTTACGTAACGTCGTGGAATCGATAATGCTTTGATTAATGCTTCGCGAACGCACACCCATTTATCGCTCTCTCTCTCTCTCTCTCACCGTCTCTCATTTCCATCTTGTCCTCTCAATTGCAGGCGGGATGGATTGTAAGTTCATTAACGATCCCCTCGCCATTGTAGACGCGCGTTTAGACACATAATTATTTATTGCATAACTCACGCAATCGCGTTTACAACAAATTTATGCCGCACGTGCTCGCGTGCGCGTGCGCCGCGTGAGAATTCACGAATTTTTCGATAATAGTGCGAACTGTAACGCGAGCTTTCAAATTTCGCGCAACGGCTTCATTCTGCGGAGTTGCCATTTTAATTAAGTGATCTACGGGAGGTATGACTGATGAACGATGTTACGGCTTTCAATAGTACCCTCGTTCTGAGACGGGTGTTCTTTTCATTTTGTTCGCCGTCAAGCGCAATTAAGTGCATCGTTAAGTTAAAATCAATATAGGATTATTACATAAGGTGAGCAATTAATTAATCGAGTAGAATGGACGATGCTATTTTTTTCATGATGAGTAGTATTATATGCAGTGCGAAATCTTGCTGTACTTTAGAGAAAGTTGCAGGGCAAATAATTTGTAGACATACTTATCTTGAGCAATATTTGAAGATCCTTACCTCTTTGCCGTGAAAACGAGTCACTTTATGCAACGAATTTATCAGTAAAGAAACTGCAATAATTGTCAGGGAAAATAGTTAGATACAGCGCATGAAAAATTTTATGTGACTTGAAATAACAAAGTGACAAAAAGTTCCTTTCAGCGATAATAATCGATCGACACGACAAATTACATTTTTACGAGAGTTTTGCGGTAAAAAGAGAGAAAAAAGTCAGCTGCAGCAGCAGAGAGTAATAAGCGTATCACTGAGGCCGATCACAATGCGCGATTGTCGGTCACGTGTCACTCGCGTAACGAACCGCACTCTACGTACCGTCGTGAAGGTCCTCATGATGTCTTCGATCGCGAGTCGCAGAACAAGCCTTTGATCGCTCGGCGCAGCGCTGAATCAGCTGTGTGCAAGTGGTCGATGTTTCGGGGCGCAGGCAGTGCAGTCAGGCCAGGTCCAAATATGCGTGCGAGTAGGCAGCGGCGAGTAGGCTAGAGAGTAGCGGCCTCGGCGCGCACTGGGGCCCTCATATACCTTAGCAGGTATTGCCTCCCCCTACCAAGTTGGTCCGCTTCAGCTCTCCGAGCGAGCGCTCTCACTCTGCATCCCCTGCACGCGCCGACCGACACACGACAAGCACTTTCACTGTCTATTCTACCTCCCTCCCTTTCTCTCTGCCTCCCTCTCTTTCTCCCTCGCTCTCTTTCACGTGTTCGCAAGGCTACGCAAAAGTACTTACACCTTAATGTAATGTACCACTTTGCGATCCTCGTACGCCACTTGGCTTGCGCCTGTGCCTCGTTCTTTCCACGGCTTATCATGTTGTCTTATATTAATTGTCAAGGTTCGGCTTCGTCATGCGAATTTCTTCGAGCTGCTACGGCTACTGCTACTGCTGCTGCTGCTGCTGCTGCACCGAAAACGCGATGATAACTTTACGCTAGCTATTTACTACTGTATACAAGCTGTAAATGACCAATTTCGCCATTTGAAACTTAAATTGCAATCTAAAGTATCTATGAGCTATTTCGGTAAAAAGCACTCGAACCATCTAATTTATTTCCAATGTTTGTAAGCCTACATCGTGAAAATTCTCACATGACCCGTTCTACTGCTGTGATCGGTTTACCCCGACTCAAAGATGGAATCGATCACCCTTACATAACGCTCGATTTAATGATTCTTTTAACCGCATAACAGTATTTAGTGACTAATAAAGATGATAAACTCGTGTTGTTTTCAAATAGAAGTTTACTTGCAATATTTTCCATCAGAAACTCGTTAATAATCAATATCTTGTCTATACTTGTTTTTAATTATACGCGTTCACCGAAAATTACGAGCGAATTAATTACTTAGCGGGAAATTACTCGAGTCACTGTACATTTCAATCTATACATACCGTAATCTTGAAAGTAAATTAGTATATCGATGCACTTAAATTATGTTCTTTACACGCAGCTAAGGAAAAGTGATTCAAGTATGGACGGTTTGTCGTATGAAGTACTCAAATGTGAACCAAATCTTGTAAGTTTCTAAAGCCACATACGTAGTCAGTTAATCTTTGTTTATAACTTTACATCAGCATGATTTTTTCGATCAAAATTATATCGGCAATACTGTCAAAATAAATTACAAATTTCCGAAAATTACCATGTGTGTTGAAAAGAATTTTGTATCGAAGTTTACGTAAGTTCGCCGTAATATCCATAATATACTGCGGTGAATAAAAATCAGATTCCATTATAATATTCTTAATATTTTTAATGACATAATAGTATTGTAATAAAATATAATAGGTCTTCTGTAAAAGCTGTTATATTGGAAAAAGTATTCAACAAATAATAAATCACAAGGATCGTTAGTGACTAGCAAAGGTATGTTGAAAAACTGAAGGCAGGGTCGAAGACTTACAAAACTCCTTATTAGAATTCCAAAAGTCTTATTTTTACTAAACGTCTACGTGGAAGAAGTAGTGGAAACAGATAATGCTTCATTGATAACATATTAAAATGATAAGTACATAACTGCCTAATTACTGATTAACAAATAATATTATCGGCTATATCACATATCGAGTGACGAGAATATTTAATACATATTGAACTTCGAATTTTTACATTTGCCTGCAAAAGTTTGCCGATAAAACTGCTGTCTATGAGAGTCTGCCAATTGTTTGCTCATAAATTGAGGCCCAAAGTTTTAAAAGTTTTTAGTGAAGAACCTAGCATTAACTAGAAATACGGAACGGAGGCAGAACTTTGTAAGTCCAATTGATGGTAGACATTGGAGACAGGACACTTTTGATTTTTATCAAAAGTATATGTTTTTTAATATTTCTAGCGGCGTTTAGCGCTAGATATAGATAAAAACTATTATTATTACGATATTATTTATTGGTAAATAAATATGCAGCTATATCATCATGATTTTAAAATGTTCTCAATGAAGTTTCAAGTTTTTATTGTCCGAAATTCTGTGTTGAAGAATCATCAAAAGTCAAAAGTTTGAAAAACACGATAAAAACATGTAATATAAACTCTAAAAATATTATAGTTTACTATAATTATATGCTTTACAATGTAAATAACATACTTCAGTAGATGTTTACGATTGTAATTCATACATTTTCAGATGAAAAGAAAATGCTAATATTTTATATAACTGAATAAAGCCGAAATTACTGTTTAATATTTTATCGTGATAATCTATCGATTTACATATTTTATTGTCTACTTTGTTTGTTCGAAGCTAAACTTTCGCATAGATAAAGTTCAATTAATTTCTCTATCGGGGGGTATCAGTCGGTTTTTATTTTGGAGTTAGTATGATTAAATCAGTCAATTTATATTAAATTTATTCCTACTATGCTGATGCACTTTTCTAACGTTTAATCATCTACGAAAATCTGCAATAATCTCATATATACATATATATATATACACACTATAGCATAACTGCTGATCACGTGACTATCTTTCAGCCAATCAGATCACGGATAAACTGACTTCACTTTGTTAGGTTCTCTTTTTTATGAGAGGAGGATTTTATTATATAACCTTCGAGTGTTGTCAGTCGTAGCAATTTTTCCAACACGTAAGGAGGAAATAGAATATGAATGGAACTGTCTCGCGTGATTACGCATTTCAAAATTGATTTGCACCCTTTATTTGGCCGACACATATAATTTTGAAAATTGAACAGCGTGCTCGAATAAAAAGAAAAGACGTTTCGTCAGTGCGTTTATTATTTGCCGGCTACAGGCTCATTGTCGGAGTGCAGCAAGCAAGCGAGGATACGAATAGCGATTACTTCAGCGGCGGAACCTGTGCACGAACGTAGCCCTCTGTTTCTCCCGTCTAGGCAGTTACACAAAGGTGGCACGGGCGCGGACTGACGGCCAGCAGTGACTTCCGAGTGAGCCGACTGCACAAGCATGTAAGAATTGTTACGGTGGCAACTATACCCTTTACATAATTCAGGAGCGCGTACGCGGGAGCTGCGAACTGGTCCATTCTCGCTTTCGACTTTTGCGATGCAGTGCTAGGACTACAAGAGCCTTGCGATCGCTCGCTGTGGCGTACTTTACGGTGTCCAAGCAGCTTTTTCGTTGCCCATCTAATCCGACCGCACGTCGCTCAATTTCATCCTTCTTCCCCCCTTGGTCAATATGCCGGCTTACGCGCGTGTGTATGCGGCTGGCACCGCGCAGATCTGATATCTTGCCACGCGACTTCACAGCCGACCGCACCAGCATAGTATCAATACGCTGAGCGACATATATCTCTTTTATATTGTACTGACAAGTAGCGACTGGTGTGATTTGTTCATTTGATTCTAATTAGAAATTTATGTAATTATAACTTCTTACATAAGGGAATATAGATCAGCTGATAAATCGATCTGCTATCAAAACCGGGCTTTGTCCTAAGAATAAAACAATATAAGTTTCAATGTAATACAATAAAATTTTATTTCAACTCAGCTGTTTAACAACGACAATCAAAATACAAGAAGAAGGGATGAAACGATATTTAAATTATGTTAGATTCCACGGGCATCGCTCGGCTGGCATTTCTTATAGGCGTCTGGCTGCGAGAACACGGAAACGCGACTCCACGACAGATAAGCATTCGCGTATATCCGCACACGCGAACAGCTATCTACGAACGACCGCCGATCCACCGAGGTGACGTAAGCGGAACGGGATGCAAATCCGCTCTCTCACAAGGAGCACTTTACTCGAGCTGTGCATGCCCAATGAATTCTCTCTCAGAGCTGATCTTTGAGGTTTGTTACATGACGACGTATAAAGAACGAGTTTTATTGTTCGCTCGCACGAGACATTCGCCATTTCGAAGAAAGTAGATCATCTCCTGATTGACGATAGTTGAATTACGGTTAATTGTGATTCACGTCTGTTGAAAAATACAAAAGCCACGCAAGATTTTCATTTTGTCGACCAATAGAAATCTAATGTTTTCACGCGAAATATGCAAGGACAATCGGCGAAAAGAGGATCGCGAAGGTGCAGGAGCGTTAAACGGCCAAGAGGAAAAGCCGAAGCATGCGAGCGCGGCAGACTTTCCGCGGCGCGCGGGCGCGCGGGGGGGAAAAGGAAGTAGGAAGTACGCACGCGACGCGCGCGGACACGCCATATATGCGGGCCGCCGCATGTGAATGTTAATGAAGACGAATGGGAACTTTCAAGGCTGTAAAGTCAAACGTAATGTGTGGACGGCCGCGAGCGCGTGGAAACTCGCCCGCGCGCGCGCAGTTAGAAAAGTTGTCTGCATATATGCGCGATAAATCGATTTATACGTATATGCTCGCTGACGTGCGATCGGCGATTTTACGCAATGCCAGCGCATGCAGCCCGTTCGTTGTCTTTTGACTTCCGTTTTGCCAGGTGCATTAAGCATAACCGTTGCAGCATTTTAGACGGCAAAATCAAAATTGCTTCGTGTCCGGGTGTAATTAGCGTTCGGGCTAGATATCGCCAATACCAACTTGGACTATTTCCTTTAAATATTATCAGTGAAGCAAATTAGAAAATTCAGCATTTGTAACTAAACTACTTTTGTTCGTATGGTTTGAAACCTATTGGTCGTCAAATTTTTACATTTATACAAATGTATCATACACCACTGATAACTAACTGATTTCTTAACATTTTACGCATGAACATCAATTACAAAATGTCAACAAAGTAGACTTCTGTAACACAGGAAGAATTTTAGTTACTGAATAACTTGTGTAAGTTCCAAGATCTGAATTAGTACAACTTTTGTGACGCATTAATTAAAAATAATTTGGTCAAGTTCTCTACTAATTTTTCTATATCTATAAAATATATCCGTATTTACCACTGACTTATAATTTTTTTTAATATTATTTATTGAAAAAATTAAACTTTAAACTACTTAACCTTCAATCATAAATATAATATGACCTGATGATTGTTACATGCCTTGAATGAGATAAGTTGGTTAAGAGAAG